ATCACACAGCTAGGGTGACTCTAGTATCTTTCTTCTTGGCTGTCTGATAAGAATACCAAGAGGTACAACATGATCAAACGCCAGATTTTGTTTGTTTTTCAATAGACAAATAATTTCTCTCTACAGTTCTTAAGAATGATAAGAATATTTGCTAACAATGGACATGTGAAATTATCACTGTTACCATTGAGGAGAACCTTATACCTTAGAGCCTTGTCTAAGGTGGCTCTTTACAAGGTATGAAGTGAGGGGTTTGGAAGAAAATTACAGAAATCCCACCATTAGAGACATGTCACTTTGGGCCTTAGATACTTTAAGGTCCTCAGGAAGCACAACTGAAATGCAGATAAACCTGAGAGGGATCATACTTCAAATATGAGTGGCTGCTAACCTCTTGGAGACTTTTTCTCATTGGTGACATGCAAATAACAGTCATGAGGAATAAATAAGGGCACTCACGGGAAGCAGTTATCTCAGAGCTTCACACTAGAACCTTCCCTCTTACAAGGGGACTAAATCACAGTACCCTGCATGAGACATGGGGGGAGGGGTCGCAAGACAAATGCCAGAGAAGTAAGGAGCTCACACGAGAGAACTGAAAAGGGGACATGACAGTCCCCTCTGAATTCCTCACTCTGCCAGAGTGCGCTCCTCTTCACATCCTGCTCCAAGCCTCTGCCAGCTCTGGGCTGTAGAACTCTGGAAGCAGATAGTTGCTCCGAACAGAGGGGTCGGGGCTACTAAGATGCTCTTTTAAAATGTCACATTTCTAACCATAACACAGATTACCCATTAAAAGGCCAAGGTAAGGCCTAGCAGGTCTGTCTCAGTGGTTAGAGTGTCTGCCCACGGACTGAAGCGTCCCGGGTTCAATTTCGGCCAAGGGCAGGTACCTCAGTTATAAGCTTGATCCCTGGCACTGGTCATGGTATGTGCGGGAGGCAACCGATCAATGTGTCTCTCTCGCATTGATGTTTCTCTCTCTCTCTCTTTCTCTCTCCCTTCCACTCCCTCTGAAAAGCAATGGAAAAAAAATGTCCTCAAGCGAGACTTTAAAAAAAAAAGGCCAAGGTAAAACCTAATCCCTGATTATGTTAACTGTGACTTTTTAAAAAAAATCCTAATTGCCCAAAGTTTCTCGTTAGGGGTTTGTGACATGCATATGTGACAGCAAATAAATAATTTTCTTCATAAAGTTTGAACTTTATTTTTGGAGGAGCTACAAGGAGCTACAAAACTAGTAATATTATCAAGCTAGATGGTACACTGGGAGAAAATTATCGGGGTGTAGGAACAAAATATCCTTCTAGGGGTGGGAGACTCAACCTCTTCCTAGTAGATTTTCTGTTATTACTAATAATTGCTTTAAAATGTTTTATCTTGCACAGCCTAGGTTGATAGGATTATAAGAAGGTTTTTCCCTGCTGTGTGGCTCACCAGGGGATAAGTCAGAGCTATCTTCGTCCACAGATGGGAACTCAGTGGGAAGTCTAACAGGGCCATGAACTTTAAGGCATGGATGTGAAAATGGTGACATGAAGTAGCGACCTCCAGGGAACATGAAGGCCAACCAAATATCTGCAGGGGTACAGGTCCAGATACTAGATCAGAATATGTAGCTAACTTCACCAAATGGAATCATCCATTAAAAAGCATTTTGGATGTAGGTTAAATTATGAATGCAACTGGTCCTGGAGAATGGGGTTGGGGTGGGGAAGAAGGCAGGAAACCCCCTGCTCTTTTTAATAAGCTTCTTCTGTATGTGTTTCATGTGCTTACAAGTTTTATTTATTTATTTTTTTAAATGTCTTTATTGATTTCAGAGAGAGGAAGAGAGAGGAGAGATAGAAACATCAATGATGAGAGAGTCATTGATTGGCCGCCTCCTGCATGTCCCCCACTGGGAGCCGAGCCCGCAACCCGGGCATGTGCCCTGACCGGGAATCGAACCATGATCTCCTGGATCCTAGGTCAATGCTCAACCGCTGAGCCATGCTGGCCAGGCTCTGGTTACAAGTTTTAAAAGATAAGTTAAAAATAACAATTTTTGGAAGAAACAGGTGCCAAAAAGGGGGATGGAAAAGGTCTGTATTAAACCACATTCACAGAGCACAAAAGGGGCGGCAGCTGGCTCCACCTGGGAAACACAGAGGCTTCCAGTGCGGTGATGGCTTAGTAAGGCCTGGGGGCGTGAGGAGGTGCCCTCTGGGTGAGCAATGGGGGTGATTATATCCCTGAATTAACCAAGTGGCTTCCTCTTCCTCTTCCTCTTTCTGTCCCTCCTCTTCCCTTCCTCCCAACACCCCTTCTGACTTCCCTTCTTTCCTTCAACAAATATTCACTGAGTACCAACTATGTGCTAGGCATGGTTCTGAACATTAGGAACATGGCAGTAAACAAATACATCAGTAAAATATATAGTATGTCAGATGGGGAAAAACAACTATGGAAAAAAAATAAAACATGAATGAGGAGTATCTGACAGAGTGCTGGACTGAGTCTTAAAGCATCAATAGACCAGTGTAGATACACTTCCCATTCTGGGTAGTAAATATCTCATATAAAAGAGGTAACATCATTCCCTCTGCTAAGTTTCACTTACTCAGTTAGAATGCCGTCTGCTGTGTCTCTTCCCTCAGGGGTATCCCAGGACACCCGGACTGTCAGCTTATTGGGTTCAGCAATGCGTTCCTTCACACTTGGGCACTTGATTCTAGGAGGTTCCATATCTGAAAATATAAGCAGAGTTATAGTTCTCACCATCATCAAGAACTATCTTGTGGACTTGGGTTTTGACACCCAGCATTTGACATGCTAATAGCTCTAGGCACTCCTCATTTTTGAAGGGTTTTTTCACCCCCTCTGTATTTCTCTTCCCTCCCTTCATCTTACCCCTTCTCTCTTGCTGAGATTTGAAGATTGTTTGGGTACTCACATGTGCATGGCTAAGCCTGCAATCAACTGGCTTTGCTAGGTGTCTTACAGGCATAATTTATTAGCTATAGCTTCTTCCCCATATTTTTCAATTCTGCCCACTGACTTAGCAGTATGGCAGTAACCCAGCTAAACCTAGAAGTCATTCAGCTGTAGTGGGTCCCTTGTGCTTTAAAAACAGCATCACAGGATATTAAAGAAAGGTACCTTAGCTCTCATCCACTTCAACTGAATTCAACACAACAAATCTTTAGTAAGTGCCTGCCTTACCTAAGGCATCATTCCAACTCCTGGGGTTGAGGTGCATAAAGACAAGAGAATCATGTGTTTCTCAAAGAGTTTACAGTCAATTAAGGAGACTGCATCAGCACACATAAAATATGCCATGAGACAGAAATAGCACTACCCCAGGAGCGGTAAAAGAAAATGCTATGGAGGCTTACAGGAGCCACCCAATGCTCTCATTTTAAATATGTGGAAACTAAGGCTCAGAAAGCTTAAGTGATATATTTAAGGCCATGCATGTAGTAACAGTGCGAATTAAAACCCAAGGCAGAGCACTTACCCTTGGAACAAGCCCTCTCTCCTTTGGCTTTATCCATCCTGGACATATTCTTCAATATCTTAAAATGAACAGTGTTCTGTGTGTGTCCACTCTCTCTTCTGTCACTGGGCCACACTTATAGTCTCTGATTTTGGATAGCAGTTTTACCTTGGCTCTGTTCATCCAAAAACCTTCCAAATTTCCCCAAGTAGTTTAAGTGGTAATGAAATGTATGCCCCCCCCACTATCAAGGATGGGTTGATAATGGGGGCTAAAAATAAATGAGATGTCAGTTCTACATTGGGTTGGATTCTGTCTTATTATAGGTGAAGTGAAATCACAAGAAGGGGAGTTAAAACTTTAGCAAATTCTACTTGACGATTCTAAACAGGTAGAGAATGCATTTCAAGGGGGCATAGTAAGTTAACAACATTCAGGTTTGCATTGCTTTACATGCCAACTGATAAGTATTTAAATGTTACCACAACCTGAATGAAAGTTAAATGTCATTTGATTCTGAATCACAAACATCTTTGAAATACTAAATGCACCAAATGAAGTCTTCATATACTTTCTCCCATGTCTTGTCTTAATAACTTCTCTTTTTATTTAAGGTAAGAAATTATTAATCATTTGTTAAACAATTTGATAAATTCAGCTATCCAAATTTATTTTTATTCTATATCATGCTAGAGTGTGAATTTATAGCCTTAATACACTAATACCAAAATAACCACCATATTTTACTGAATCTAAGTCATTATCAATTGCAAGATACAGCCCAATGTCAGGGATATTACAGGGTGAAAAAATATGCTTCTTAGAATTAATAAAATAAAGTATATAAATGTTGTGATGAAATGGAAGCTGCTTTAAATGCATTTGAGGCATCTAATTTCAGTTGCTAAGTTTATAAAAATATATTTTTTTACTCTGCTAAGTAATAAAAGACATACTTTCATAATTCAGGCGAACACTTCACAGCTTAGGGTGAATCAGAAAGACAAGTATACGATATCTGCCCCCTACTAGTCCAATATAGTTGGCAATTTCATCATAGAAAGCATATTTATTTTTTTTTAAATGTAAAGCCCAAGTGCCCACCAGTCGATGAGGGATAAAAAAATCAGTGCTCCATTTACACAATGAAATACTACTCCACTGTAAAAAAAAAAGAAATCTTACCCTTTGTGACAGCAGGAATGGGCCTGGAGAGCATTATGCTAAGTGAAACAAGCTAGTCTGAGAAAGATTAAGTACCACATGATTTCACTTATATGTGGAATGTAATGAACAAAATAAACTAACAAACAAAACAGAAGCAGACTCATAGATACATTGAACAGACTGACAGCTGTCAGGGTAGGGGTTTTAGCTGAGTGAAAAGGGTGACGGATTAAGCAACCTCCCCAAAAAACTCATAGACTCAGACAATAGTATGGTGATTACCAGAGGAAAAGGGAGTGGGGGGAGGTAGGAGAGGGTAAAGGGGGGATAAATGGTGATGTAAAGAGACTTGACTTGGGGTGGTGAACCCACAATACAATATACAGATGATATATTATAGAATTGTACACCTGAAACCTATGTAATTTTATTAACCAACGTTACCCCAATAAATTCAATAAAAAAATTTATTTAAAGAAAAAAATTTAAAGCAAAAGGAAGGATTAGGAGAGGTCGATTTCAATGTAAAATTACACTGTGCTACTTTTAATTCGAGCAACACTGTTAGAGTGAAGAGATTCTCTTAGTCTCTGTGCCATGTAAACTAGACACCTGGATGATATGCTAGGCTGTTTTTGGTATCAATTAGATATACTGACATTGTGAGCAAACAAGCTCCAAATTAGGTTACCTGGGTGATGAGACTCAGAGTTTCGAAAAGCCAGCTTATGTCTAGCTAACAACGATCGGTCAAGGCTGACCTAGTTTTTCAGAAGCAGTGCTTTTCCAAATGAGAAATAGGAAGAAATAAATTACTAAAATTAATAGTATTTACCGGACCCCCAAAATGCCCACCCCATGTGAAATACTATCTCTGCATTATTTCATTGAGTTCTCACAACCACTCTCTAGACTAAGGATTGTTATCATTATCCCCATTTATAGACTGGAAACCATTTCCCCACTTTTGGGGTTTCTTTGTGGTCTGGGATTTTAAGACATGAGCAAATATTTTTAAATTATTTTAATAAGCCAAACACTTCTGTGTGTCTGCCAGCTGCTGACTAGTTATTTTCCTCCAACCTCTGCCCACACATTCTTTTGCGGTGGCCTGCTATGGCTCCCCCATATGTCCTTGAAGAGCAGCAGCAGGACTGGATTCTGTTGCATCCTCAAGCATCATGCCCTCTCTTTCAGCTGATGAGAATAGCTCGCTGGGTGTCCTTCACAGATGCACCAGAAACCTAAGTGTACCAATATATAACCATGGCCATCACTGCTGTTTAAGTTATTATCAATTCCCATGAATGAAATGAACAAAGTTGCTATTGAAACATAGCGAGTGATTCCATGTTGAGTCAGGATGCCCATAGAGCCAGTTATTGTATGGAAATCCTGAAACTTTCATGAACACCCTGACCTCAGCCCCATTCATTGGAGACATCTGATGGACTATCTCGCTCCTGTGTTCCAGTGTTCTCTCTGCATATAAAATACCAGGAACAAACATATTGCACTGTATCAACTTCTATTTATCTAAGAAGCTGAACTATGTACTTGGGATCCTTAATACATTTAAACCAGGTAGGTGGTGAAAATAAGAAAGAGGTTCAAAAGGACAGTGTCCTGGCCAACAGGTAATAAGGAAGAAACAAAACTTTTAAATTAAGACTATAAGTGAAGTGCATCCTAAAATGTTTGCTTAAATAGTGATATCCAGTGGAAAACTGTGTTTGAAGATGACTGCTAGAGATGTGATTAAAAGGTACTTCAGAGCATGACAATAACTTGTGTCTGAGACTGCCCGACCTGGGGTCCTTTCTCTCCACCCCATTCTAAGGCACAATGATATTTTTATCCCAATAAAGGGTTGTCACAGCTTCTCACAGCAAACAGGCCCCTTTCCTCTCTGACTTCCTACATATCCTGTTCAAGCTGGCTTTTTAATTGCTGCTTCTCTCACTGCTCTTATTCCTTGATCTTTCATACCAACTTCCTCTCAATATGTAGGGTTGATGCAACAGAGAATGCTGGATTCTCACCCACTATCTGATCCTCCTTCTTTTACAACTAAATAAGTTCTCCTGGGCCTTTGGCCTTCAAGAATAAAGACTACATTTCCCAGCCTCCCTTTAAGTTAGCTGAGGCCATGTGATGGGTTCCACTAATGGATTGTGAGAAAAAGTGACATGTGCAGGTTCTGGGTTGTGCTTTTTGAAAAAGCTGGGGGATAAAGAGTGTATCCTGCTCTTTTTCCTTCCTCTTCCACACTGGTTTGAATGTGGCTGTGGTGGGGAGATGGGGTAGCCATCTTAGCTGTGAGATGAAAGCTGGAAGTTCAGTATGAAAGAACAAGTGAGAAGGAGCTTGGGCCTAGGATGCTGCCCTGGACTGCTTAAGCACAAACATTTATACAAGAATGAAACTTCCATCTTGTTTAAAGCATTATAATTTTGGCTTTTTTAATAGTACCTGAATGATATATAAGCAATCACACCTGTTTTTTCAAATTACTTCTATTTATTATCTTTTGTGGCATCTTCCAAGATATATTTCACTAATGATTTCCAAGCACTGATTTCAAGGGATGTTGTGGTGAATCTCCTGCAGAGATGGCTACCCATAATCCTCTTATATATTTGCAGGTCCTCCTACCAAGAGGTGGAATCTATTTCCTATCCTTATGAACCTGTATCAGTCTTGTAACTTGCATTGACTAATAAAATGCAAGGGGCCCAGCCAGGTGTGGCTCAGCGGTTGAGCATCGACCTAAGATCCAGGTGATCAGAGTTCGATTGCCGGTCAGGGCACATGCCCGGGTTGTAGGCTGCAGCCGATCAATGACTCTCTCATCATTGATGTTTCTATCTCTCTCTTTCCCTCTCCTTTCCTCTCCCTGAAGTCAATAAAGATATATTTTAAATAAATAAATAAATAAATAAATAAATAAATAAATAAATAAATAAAACAAATAAATAAAATGCAAGGGAAGTGACTCTATGCCAGTCCCTGGCATATGCCCTTAAAGAGTCTGACTTTTGCTGTCTTGGAAATCGGCAGCCATCTAAGGAAGTCCAAATATCT